TTGCCAAATGTCACCACATCAGCTCGCCACATGTCATGCTTTAGCTCCGCCAAATGTCACGCTCCTGCAGCTCCGACTCTGCTTTATATATATATAAAGGATTTATTAATTGTCCAAAGTTGTACTTATTGGTATTTGAGATACGAGTCTCATTGGCGGATCCATAGCTATGGCATAGGGGGCATATGCCCCCAGTGAAATTTCATTAAGTACAAACAATGTAATCTAATTTTTGAAAAATAAAAATAAAAATGCTTGGGTTGATTTTGGGTTGTGCCCCTTGTCCAATTTATAATGCCCCCAACGAGTTTTAAAAAATATCTTTCTCAATCTTTAAGAATAAGCTCAAACATTGAGTATTTCTATATCTCCTTATTATTTTTAATACTTAAGTTAATTTAGTTATTATGCATTATGTATAGAAAAATTGTTGTTCCCAAAAAGATGTTCCCATTTTAACTTTTAGGAAAGTTTAGAGGGATTTTTTGTGTGTTGAGTTTCAAAAAATATCCTTGATGTCATAGATAAAAGTAGGATGCGATATACAGATTATTAGTAAAAAGGTATGACGTGATAAGTATGTTAAGATTTAATATGGTAAAAGTGGTTTTTTAATAAAAATCAGAATGAATTTGTGGGACGAGTAAAAAAAGAAAGGAGAAAGAGTTTTTGAGATAAAGAGAGTATTAAATAGTTATAATGTGATAGATAGGTCAATACTTAATGTGTAAAAGAAATATTTTAATTGAAAGTTAAAGTATAAAGTTTTTTTCGAGACGGTGGAACATTTCCTACAAATTATATCAATATGGAATGAAATTGTTATGTAGGAAAAAATTCTCATATAAAAGTAAGAATTTATAAATTTTAAAAAATAATTAAAAATAGAAGTGAAACATTTACTCCGTAAAATATAACTATTTGATCTAGTGTTCTTCAATTTTTGGATACTATGACTTTTCATTTAATTACTCCATATTTGAATGGTTATTTGAGATTAATTTAAATACTCCATACTTTTTTGTTATTTACATCGCACTTAAAATAAATATCGAATGCGCTGCATCTACCCCCAAGCATTCCTCTTAATGTAGTTTGAAGGAGTCATATTAAAGGTGCCCCAGTGAGAATTTTTCCTGGATTCGTCACTGATACTAGTACTTTTTTCTCTTTTACTTTATATAAAATGAGATCATTTAATTGATTGTAGCTGGTTATTTAATAGTTGTCCAAAAAGGCAGAGTTTTAAAGAAGCTATACATTGTTTAGAAAAGTTGTTACATGTTTGAGAAAATGTAGATTTTCAAAACATTATAATTGAACTAAGATATAGATTGATGTATTCTAATATATGTTTTATTTGTCTAAAATTACTAAAATAATTTACTGAATTATTGATATTTTTTCGTCACCTACTTCTGAACCATTTACATTTTTGTTACCTGGAGAAATTTATTATTATATTTTTAGAGTATTTCATTCCAACTATTTGAATATATTTTTTAATAAAAAATTTACTCCACAACTTTTCTATATTTTAAAATTCTCTTTAAAAAGATTTGGGCGAACGATGTCCATAATCACGTTCTTGACGTACATACCGATGGTGTCCCCTGTCAAAAAAATTCCTGGATCCACCACTGGGGATGAATCCACCGTCATGAAAGTAGACAACGAGGTCTTGTACTTGAGTCAAGGTCTTTCAAAAAAAATTGACTTAGGGTTTCTTCTGTTCAACTTATTACTTATTCTTATTAAAATCAGATCAAAAATAATTTTAAATATAACTACAATCAAATTAGATCAGACTATACCATATCATACCAGGTCTTCAAAAAATCAGATCAAATCAACACAGCCTTAATCTAGTAGATGTAAAATTTGTATATACTATCCCAAACAACTTGAGAAATTTTAAAAAACTAGGAGCGCAGTAAGATTAACTAATTAAAACAATATATATCAATAGATCTGATCAATAAAAAAATTGTTGAAAGGATGTTATAGCCATGATTACAGAAGCAAGTGAGAGATAGGGTGTTATACTATCTTCTCCATCATACGCACACACGAAGCAAATAATGTAAAAGCAATAAACTAAAAAAGTGACTAGATATGTTACCTTTACTCCGAGTGGCCCACGTCCATGCAATAGTCCTTCACGAAATCTTAGAAGTAGGATACACATATCAATTACAGTGTGATGAGACACACTTCTCCAAATGATTATGACAAAATCTTAAAAATAAAACTTCTAACTCGAACTTTGTTCAAGTTTACTTCACGACTATCATACCTTCACCTAGATATCTTCAAGGACGTGTTAATAGCCCTAGTTCTACTAGTTCTTGAAATATGTTTCTCAATATTTGGCCTCGTCGAATTGGAGACAAATAGATGCGTCTATCTTTTGTGCACATAATCGTCTACGTGCAGAACGACGTGACAAGTATATCTCCTTCACGTTGTAGATGTATATGATTAGCAACTCTCATAAATCACACGAAGTATGGATATTAAATCTCAGATCATGTGTCTCGTTTTCTCATTTATCTCATCTCTCTTTTCTTTGTGAGAGTCTTGTGTACTAATAGGCACACCTTTTTGTATGAATCGTGATCCTACTTGACCCGCAATGTTTGAAGAATATATACCATACCCGAGGCTATACGTAGAGCTAAGTATACCATGTAGATATTCATTTGTAATCAACAAAATATTCATTTTGAATCAACTAAATATAATGTTCATTTTCAAGCGTAGTGTTTATTCTGAAACCTACTCCACATAGTTTTCATTTTAAAACAACATAATGTTCATTCTGAAACATTTTCTTAATTATAGGTTTGTCATTATGTACTAAGAGGAATGTACATCTGGTTATACCATATAATTTGTCCCGTGTTCGTCTACAATTATATTGTACGCTGGGAGTACTCTAAGAGCATCTCCAATAGTACTGCATATATTCACTTTTGGAGTTATACAGAGTGGTTACTCCAAGAGCACTCCATTTCCAATTGCAAAATGAATTTTGCAGTATTTCAAACTCGAATATGGGTTGTAAATTGGGGTACTTCATTTTCTCTTCTTTCATATATTTATTACTCTGTAATTTTTTTAAATTTTTTTCAACTTACACTATCTCTCTTTTCAGCAAACTTATATTTTATAATTTACTGAACTTTTTAATTTTCAAATATAGAAAGTAATAAGAAAAATAATGTATTCTAAGAATATTATCTTGATTTTGGTGTAATAGGTTGTGATGAATTACTCTAAACTTGACATTTACAATATTTTGAGTTTGAGTTTGGTGTGCCGGGTGCATAGTGAAGAGATGGTCTAAGATAGTGGTTAATTGTTGATCTTTATTTGAAAGGGGTGGATACTACTTGAAAACATGAGTGGCCCGGAGGGTGTACAAAGTGGCTAACCGCACAGAGCCCGTAAAATTTTAGGGCTCCATATTTTTAAATTTACTAATAATTTTAAAGGAAAAATATTCTAAAAAAATAAAATAAAGTCCAAAATGTAAATTTAGAACTGGACTAATTTTATTTTTTATTTTTTGGGGCCAACCCTACTTGAAAATAGGCCACTAAAAGAGTGGATAGCCTCTTGATTCCCACTTCTTGTAATGGGTAAAAAGTGCTAGTAAAAACTACAGAATGTCTTTGTAGTACGTATGTAGTATAACAACAATAAGGTCACCATCTTTTTTTATCAACGAAATTGCTCCAATATTTTCAATGAGTTTTAATTTGATTTTCTTTAGTGGCAATTTTTTGATATACTCTATCCCTTCCAATTATTTTGTACTCCCTCAATAGCACAAAAGAACTTACACTCACGATAAAATCAACACACGCGAGAGTACTCTCTCAAATTGTATAATTGAAAATAATGCAAATTAAATCAGAATAACATTTTTTCTAATACTATAGATTAATTTTATGAAGTTCTAAATTAAAACATTGTCCTAAGACAACTTTTTTAATGCTAAACTAAATGTCGTAATTATCGTGACTGATTATTTTTCAGTCCGATTTATTAAATTTGTTGTACACCCTTGTGATTTCCAATTTTGATCCCATTCTTCAACATTTCTGTCTTGTTATGTGCATGATTTTGAATTGTACATAAAATACTACTACTTCATATTCTTTAAGCAATGAACATTCATATTTAGTACTACCTCTGTTTTTGAGTATTTGTCCAATTTGGACTTTTTTCAATCAACTATTTTTAACATTTGACTTAAAATTAAATAAAATATATATAATATTTTAATTAGATAAAATAATATTTTGAAAATATTTCATATAATAAATCTAATAAAACTATTTTAGTACCAATATCTAATATCATTTGTATTTAATTTGAAGTCAAAGTATTTAAATTTTGATCGAAAAAATCAAATGTAGACAAATAATCAGAGACGGAGCAGATCTTGTATATCATTGCACCATAAAATCTATTTGTGAACATGAGCATTTAGTTTTATACATAGTAGATCATGTCTGGTATTCTATAACAGTTCAAACACACAAATTTATACTCCAATTTGTTACCATATGTGGAAGGTGACTAGTATGTCAAGTGGATGACTAAAAGTCCATTACGTATATATGAGTACCATACATATCCACTGTTTTAGTGCCACTCCCACTCCACTTAAACTCATCCAATGAAACATGACTACCACTTGTTTGCCCCGGGCGTAGCTCAACTGGTCGAGAAGATAGTGTCACAAAGGTTAATTCAAGTTCAAATAGTAACGGAACTGCAAAAATTAATGATGATATTAAGCATGAAATTTCTACAAGTATTACAAACAGATCTCACTCTCTCGACAAGACTGGATTTAATTTACCTCCTTCCAACTTACTTTTCAGACCGGTATTGAGAAGACCCTGAGGTTGGGGTAAATCTTTTTTTACTACCACTTGCTTCATTTTGTGTATAAATTGCATCAACTAAGTCACTTAATCAATTGACTAATTGTACTCATATTCCACAAGTAATGGCACATTCTTGTTCTTTTACTTCTTTAACCTTCCCTGCAACTATCATTAATATTATGTGCCTCATCTTGTTTCATGGCCTTGTTATTATGGCTCAAAGCCAACAGCTTGATGACCAATTTTATGGCAAGTCATGCCCAGACTTGGACAACATTGTGAGCTCCGGCGTTTGTTCAGCCATCACAAGAGACCAAAGAATGGCTGCATCTCTTCTTCGTCTCCATTTCCATGATTGTTTCGTTAATGTAATATTTCTCTATTATATATACACGTGAATATTAATTATTGTTCAAATCTCACGGCTATCCAGTTTTGGTGGTGCAGGGTTGTGATGCATCCATACTTCTGGACGAGACGAACAAGTTTAAGGGGGAGAAAAACGCAACGCCTAATCGGAATTCAGTAAGAGGTTATGAGGTGATTGAGAGTATAAAAGCAGATGTTGAGAAAGCTTGTCCATCCACTGTCTCATGCGCTGACATTCTTACCCTTGCAGCTGTCAATGCTGTTTCTATGGTACTCCAAAACTTCAATCAATTCAACTTTCTTGTACTAGACCAATGAGCAGTCTGAATTTGTTTAGAATAGAGATATATTTTCAAATAATTTGTGTAGTCAGGAGGACCCTTTTGGAGCGCGCCACTAGGGAGACGAGATGGAGTAACAGCCAATGAAGCCGCAACCAAAAATTTGCCATCACCTTTTGAGAGTCTCAAAGACATTACCAACAAGTTTTTGGCCCAAGGTCTTGATATCAAAGACATGGTCGTTCTTTCAGGTACTAAAAATGTAGGACCCGTTCTTTTGAACAATAATATTAGGGGTACACCAGAATGAGGTACCTCATTTGTACAAGTAAAAAAAAGCAGACACACATACACTTCATATATATATGTACATGCATAGCCATTGAGTGTTTTTGCGTGTATCTGCTTTTGTTTGGTGTACAAGTGGAATACCCCATTTTGGTGTACACCTAGCATTGCCCTAAGTACAATTAGATCAGATCAGCTCGAATCAAATCAGATCAAATCAGACCTTAATAAAATCATATCAGATCCAATCATATGAGACGAAGAGCACAAACTCGTATTGTTTTATTTTCTTCATTCGCATTTAATTGACGATTATCATAACTGTTTGATTTAGGAGCGCACACAATTGGTTATGCACAATGTTTCACGTTCAAAACGAGGTTGTTCAACAACAGCGGCACAGGAAAACCGGATCCATCATTGGACACAACATTCTTGTCGAATTTGCAGACGGTCTGTCCCAACGTGAATACATCGGACACGAAGCTCATTCCTCTGGATGGTCAAACCACCTACAGTTTCGACAACTCGTATTACATTAATCTGGTGAAAAACACGGGCCTTCTCGGGTCAGACCAGGCTCTCATGGGAGACCCAAAAACTGCGGCACTTGTCAAGCAATACAGTGACGATGCTTATGGTTTTTATAAAGACTTTCCAGGATCAATGATGAAGCTTGGAAGCATTGGGGTGCTCACTGGAAAACAGGGGCAGATTAGGAAGAAATGTAACTTTGTGAATTAATTAATAATCCTTATATGTAAAAATTATCCGTGTCCAGAAAAAACAATATAGAGTGCCCCAAGTGGCTTCAAGTGTGTATTAAAGATTAAAGTATTATCTGAATAAATCAAATCACAAACTTTTTAATATAGTCGTGTGGTTCTATCTCTTGTTCCCCGAATAATATAAAGAAAAATATATACTTTATGTGTTGGTCTGGTTATAGATTGAAACCCCAGTATTTGTTTTATTTATTTTTAGATTTATTTCTTGGATATTTTTAACTCATTTTCGACTATTTAGCTTGACTGGATCCTGTTTTTATTTTTTTTCTATCTAGTAGTCGTATTTCAATAAATAATACTCCTTCCATCCGGAAATAAAGACAACACAAATCCTTTATATATATAAAGGAGAGTCGGAGCTATAAGAACGTGACATTTGGCAGAGCTAAAACACGACATGTGGCGAGCTGATGTGGTGACATTTGGCAAAGTTAAAGTGCGGACATGTGGCGAGCTAATATGTCACCCTTTTAGACAAACCGATCGGTTTGACCGGTTAGACCAGTTCTTTTTTTGCAATTTTTTTCCAAAAGCATACCACCATGGGGTTTGAAACGAGGATCTCTTGGTCATTTAGTTGAGTTGCTAACCATCCAAGCTAGGGTGTTTTTTGTTACAATCTCACTTAAGCTTTTGTAATGTTTCATAATTAAAAAAGGATTGTATAAAAATTTCTTTTTAGTTATAAAAAAATATAATCTTTTAATATAATATTTAAGACTCCGTTTGCTAAAAAGTCGCCAAAAGACAAGCTTATGTGGGTTATATTAAGGTGAGATGGCAAGTCTTTATTGGTTGTTTATGTGGCAAATTTTATTAATGATGAATTGACCTTTCTTTTTATTTTAAAATAGAAATTTAATAATGATTTTAAATTTTGGAAAAATTTTACGTTAAAAGATTTAGTAGAAATAAAGAATTCACTACTTCGTGACATTAGTTGAGTATTTTTATTTTTATTTTTAAAAAGCAATTCATCTATTTATTTGTTATGATGTGATAAAATTAATTATGTTATAAAATCAAATTTGAGAAAGATAAATGTAGTATTGTCCGAAATAAAATTTTTAAAGGAAAACAGTTATATAAAATATAATTTTATGATAAAAATTATTATGATGTAGCAAACAATTAGTGAAAATATAAAATTGGTATTATCACTTACCATTTCAAGACTAGCATTTTTTATGAATCAAATTTTTAACTAAGTGCATACACAAAAAACAAAATTTTGATAATGATATATTCTCATTTAAGAGTATTCTTATAGAAAAGGATCAAATATGTTTATAATTGATCCTTTATTTATAAAATTGATATTTTAATCTTTAAGAAGCAGAGATGTGATATTGTTTAAGAGACATTTCTGACAC